TCAATCAAATCCTCACCTTCCCATTACCTCAATCATAATCCTAGACCAACCTTAAGCCACTTTTGGTCAAGTTTGTAATTAGACTCACTCTCAGAGGAATCCAACAATTGGAGGAGGTTCGTAGGACTCAACCAAAGCTTCTATAACCACCCAATCAAGGCCTCACCTATTGAGCTAAGATATAATATGTTAGCCAACAATTAAAATATGTCGCATCGATTTGAAAAATAATTTAATTTAATAAATATATAATTTTGATTTTGAAAATGTAGAATTTAAATTTTAAGAATAAGAATGAGACCAGATATATCTCATATTCATAACAGTTCAAGTAATCAAACCTAACACCACAAGTAATATGTTATCCCGAAAGATAGGTATACTACATGACAGTGGACTCAATCATATAAACTAAATGATTATGATGTTTGTTTGGTCTGTGAACCTTTTGTTTGAATGACAGGTTCATCTGCTTAGGGATTTTTTTTTATTGTAAGTTTTCTCCTTTCCTACACTTATTTTTCTTTCATGATTTCAATAAAATATTCCATGTTTCTCTATCTTATGACACATTGCTAAATCTCTCTCTTGCTCTTATTATGTAAGGTTTTGATGTTTCTCGTTGTGTTCTTATTTATTTTTCCTGCAAATTTCATTTGCACTATGATTTATTCATATTGTTGTGTTAGCTTTTTACACATAGTGTACACCTAATCTAAAAAATTTCAATGTTAAAAGTTCTTGTGAGCTAAGACTTCCAATTGTCTCCTAGTGTAACTCATAGGTTAACATACAATAACATTGAGTAAAAGAAATATTGTCACTAGGGGATTGCAACCTAAATAGTGAACCTAAAGAGTCCTGTAAAATACTGCATGGTTATGGTCTGCTTAACTGTAATATAGTTTCCAACTCTACTTATGACATTAATATAGAACAATAAGAATTAGCACTATTAGATAACTATAACATAGAGAAATTCATAAGAATACAATGCGAATACATTACACCTGAGTCATAGAAGCATGAGCCTCATTTCCTCTAAAGATCTTTAAAGACTCCTTGTTTCGTATTGTTTTCTTTCCCGTTGACTACTTTATTTTCTATATTGCGTAGGATTGTAGATGCTCATAATTAAACCTGAGATAATGTCAAACTAGGTTCAATAGTTTAGTAAACTAAAGCTTTCCTGTCAAAAATCTTTTTGACCCTTTCCTCATGGGATCAATATGCAGACCCTAAAATTCATATATAATTTGACACGTTGACTTACATGATAGATCAACTTGCTTCACAACATATTTGGCCATCACAAGTATCATGTAGGGGAGCTAATAAGAAAAATATAGAGAGAAAATTATAAAAGTGTTACAAAAGCATGTACCTCATAACCTCTTTGAAGGACTCAAATTTATTCCTTAACTTTTCTGCTGCTGTCATTTAAGCCTACTGTACTTTTAAGGTGGTAGGGTTTTTATTATTATCAATTTGATCACTTCATACTAAATTTAGGGGTTTTGGTACACTAGAACTTGCCTTGTTATAAATATTTTAACAACTAATCTCGTGAAATAAATATGTGGACTCTTTATTCATATATTACTTGATCAACATGTATATTTACATGATCAACCAATTTTTTCAAAGTAATTTAGGGCATAAATTAGCTACAATAAAAATATGAAAATTTATGCCTTAAACATTTGAAATGATTTATTTGAAACCCTAGGCTCTTATTATAAATATATTTATTAACCTTTTGCCTAAGGATAATACTTTAAAAAAATTATATAGCCACTATCTCATAGTGAGCTTCTAACACTTTAATCCTTTGTTATAACTTTTATGATTTCAACAACCACATAGAAGGACGAGAGAGAGAGAGAGAGAGAGATTAATTTGCATCCTTAGTTCCTAAAGATATTTTGATAGTTTGTTGTTGATGAGCTCATATTTCTATACTTGATATTGTATTCATATGTAAGATCATTTGACTTGTACATTTTTTTATTTCTTTATTTATTTTTTTGCTATAGATCTCTTAAATGTTCAAAATGAGAATGTTTAGGAGAGGTACCTTTTCCAAAAATTAGATGATAGGTTTTCATGAGTGTGACTAATGTTAAGGCTTCTCCAACTAGTAAAGGATTTTTTTATTAAGTGAAATGTTTGCATAAAATCCAATGTGATGGTGTGCACCCAGATATGGACATAAACCAAGGTCAAACAACAAAAAAGTGATTTTTGATTGATTGAATGTCTTTTATGTGCATCTCATTTAATGAATTCCAATTCTGTTAATTTTATTGATCTTAATATTAGTGATTATGTAAAATTTGTCATTTGATTATTCATTTTTGAAAAGAAAAAATTTATAGATAAACAAAGCCCAAATCACCCCCTCACCCTTTTTGGCATACTTAAAACCAACACTAGATACACATGATAAAACATAGGGATCATTATCTTATGAGCTATCATTATATAATTTCCATTTCAATATTACACTAAGAATGTCAAGGGTATCAAATCATTAGTATATCTTTGAGACATAGGTTCATGTCTTTTGAATAAAATATGATAATTGTATTGATATTGATATCTTTTCAAATTCACTCTCTGACCCCCTTATTTATATACTCGGGATGAGGCTTAATTTTATAAGAAATACTACATTTTAAACATATAAATAAAATCATATAATAAAATTGAATGCTTATTGCAAAATGAATTAAATTAATTTAAAATCAATAGATAAAATCTCAGTAACAATAAATTTGTTACTGAGAGAACCAATGATGAATTTTAGTATGAGAACCAATGTCAAGTCATCACTCAATTCAAGAGTGCTTGCCCAATTTAGGTGATAATTGAATGTACAACTATAATCTAATAAATATTAATCAAAAGCATTAAATTTTGATGTTGACCACTAATAATATAGTTTTCAACTTAAGGGACTCATAAAGATCCTATTCTTTCAAGTTTTCAGATAGTGGTTGTAAAGGCAGCCATTATGATGGAACCTAGTAGTTAGAAAGTTGCAATTCGATGTTGTAGTAATACCATATATGTTTCTCTTTTAGATTGTTGATTTGACCAACTTTATGATGATAATTAGTAGTTAATTGGTGAACTAACTTTTCATGAAATAGTTAATGATGGAAAACTTTATGAACTAACTTTTCATGAAATAGTTAATGATGGAAATCATTAAAGTTCTATTAAAGCTTAATCACTTTAACATTATGAAAACATAAACAAGTTATTATGCGCATGGTGCGTCTAAAATATGCTACTAGTTCCTTTTCAATGGTGTAATTTTCCGAGAAAATTTTACTTTAGACATAAACAATTTCTTAGTATGGTTTATATGGTCACTTTGAGGAAACGATGTTACACTAGGACTCCACACGTAGAGCTATGTGCAGAGTTATGTCGTGGAGGTGATTGGCTCGGTAACACAAGAGAATATTCCCCTTGTGTTATTCAGGTGTTATTATGCGTTATTCAGTTGTTATTATATGTTATTCAGGTGTTATTATATTCTGTGAATATTCCCGGTGTTATAATAACACAATAACACATCAATAATACATGAATAACACATGAATAACACAAGGGGAACATTCTCTTGTGTTACCGGGCCGATCACCTCCATGACATAATTTCATTGGACTCCGCACATAGAACTGTGTAATATTTTTTCCACTCTGAGGCGGCTTTGAGGCGGTTACATTGTGGATTTATTAGGAAAATAAAATTGTTTTTCAAACATAAATAACATAAACTTAAATTTCTCTTTTGAAAACGTTCAAAAATTTTATAAAATGAAAATTTACATAAATATTACAAATCAATTCCCATGCATTTACATATCTACCTCAAATTTTACGTATATGCTTCCTTACCTATGTATTAAAAATTGTTGTATTTTATATCTGGATATAGGGAATATTCTCTTGTGTTACCGGGCCGATCACCTCTACGACATAATTTCATTTGACTCCGCACATAAAACTGTATAATATTTTTTCCACTTTGAGGCGGTTACATTGTGGATTTATTAGGAAAATAAAATTGTTTTTCAAACATAAATAACATAAACTTAAATTTCTCTTTTGAAAACGTTCAAAAATTTTATAAAATGAAAATTTACATAAATATTACAAATCAATTCCCATGCATTTACATATCTACCTCAAATTTTACGTATATGCTTCCTTACCTATGTATTAAAAATTGTTGTATTTTTTATCTGGATATAAAAGATTGGATGGTAAACATGCAGAACATAAAGTAAAGTTGCTAGATATGTAAATAAATAGAAATTAGGTGGTATGTATGTAAATGCCCTATTTCAATGTACGTAACGCTGTGTCTTATTTATAAGTTCATTCTTAACACAAATATTTCAAAAAATAGTTAAATATGATCATGAAAAATTAAAATTAAATCACGAAATTCGTATGTAGCCAATTCATGCAAATGAGAAATGGATAATGAAGGGACCATTAATACCCCCCTTCCCAACTACTAGTGGAGACTTCATGGAACTCCAGTGTGAATGCTCCCCCTTAACCTCAAAATTATATATATATATATATATATATATATAACAGAATTAGGTATGAGAAATAGTGTAAAGTCAGAAAAATTAGTCGGACTAGAGCTAGAACACAAATTAGGGATGTTATCGATCCAATTTCAAGCCGAACAGAAGTCGACTCAAAATCCACTTGAAAAAAAATTGATCCAAAATTTTAGCTCTTCGCCAAAATTCGAATCAATTTTCGATCAATTAACAATCATAAAGCTAAATTCGCTAAATTCACAATCCTAACATCACTAAGGTTATTAATAATTCGATTTCAAGACGAAATCAGCTTTAAAAAAATTCGATTCAAAATATAAGCTCGTAGCTTGGCTCTATTTTGGTTCGATCTGGATCCAAGCCAAAATTTGAATCAATTTTTGAGAGCACTACAAACAATAAAACCTTTTTTAACAGCCCCCAACCTTAATAATCATTTACTCAGATTTTTCAGTGTACAGCAAGGAAGCTACAGTTCCACAGTAGTGAACTACATTACAATTTCTCCCAAATCTTCCCATTTCTATCCATATTATCCTTCATAATATGCTCTGAACAATAATACATCAGCTTCCAGCCTCAGATATGCTCTGCAAAGAAGGCCTCCAATGCCGACTGTTCTTCTGCCTCTCCTTCTCATTCTTCTCCCCCTGAAACATTACACAATTCATATGTACAAAAACTCAAATGCAAATTACAAATATAGCCCCCAACTTATACATTTACATATCTAACACTTAAAATGTGATATTTATATTTAAAACATTTTGATGCCTTGTTTAAAAAGTTACATTATAACAATTACCAGCAGACAATCTGGAACATGATTGACAAGAGATATCACAAATAATATTTTTTCTTGAAGTAGACTACAAAATGCGCAGATAACTACAGTAATTTGCATCTAATAATAATAATATCACCTGAACCCCTCCCTCCTCAACATTTGTGCTGTGTGGAGGCCTTTGTCTCTGCTCTGCTTGATCCTTCCTCATCTTCTCCTGTTTCCTTGCGTTGATTGCCTTCGTTAACTCTGAGAAAATAGCAATAAATAAATAATAAAAAAACTAAAATAATTGTAACCAACGGCTATTTTCTATATTTTTTAATTTTATGAAATAAATATAATCTCATGAATCTGAAGATTTCTTAAAACTCTGTTTCTATTATGAAATTTCGCAACTACAAAAATACTGAAGAAACTGCATAAATTTCTGAAATGTTAATGCTATGGCTCATGATTTATTTATCTTACCAAAAGGAAAAGGAGCTTAGCAGAGCAAACCTTGAGAGGTAACAAGGCGGTAGACTTGGCCGACGAGGAGGATGTCTTTGTGGCGGAGAAGGCGGACGCGAGTTAACCGGACGGCATCGCCGGCGGGAGAAGGTAAAGAAGGTGCATTTGAAGTATGGGTGCTTGGACGGGAGATGTAGAAAGTGACCAGAGTAACATAGTGGCCGGGATGGCTTCGCATGATCTCACCGGCGCTGGTGGGCCAGTAGAGCCGTTCGATGCGGCCGTCGGGGTGGTGGATCACGACGGCGGCGGCGTCGGTCGCCTGACAGTTTCCCATTAGAGCACCTGAAAAAGGTTCCAACTTTATCGGCGGGGGGGGGGGGGGGGGGGGGGGGGGGGGGAGGGGGGGGGGGGGGG